ATATACATACACACACACACACACACGTATATACATACACACACACATATACGTATATACATACACACACACATATACGTATATACATACACACACACATATACGTATATACATACACACACATATACGTATATACATACACACACACATATACGTATATACATACACACACACATACGGACCGGGTCATATAGGCTACGATGTTTTTGACAAGTTCATTAAATTATCATTATTATTAGAGGAAATTATGGGGGCATTTTTTGCCCCTCTCCTAGTGATATCGGGGGCAAAATTATATTTCTTAGGGGCAGTTTTGCCCTTTGCCCTCGTGTATTTCCGACGCTGACTGAATGACTTTGGTGAAATGTGGTCACAGTGAGTATAAGACCAAATACAGCAATTACAATAGATATGCGGAAGAGAATAAATAAAACAAATGTGCTTTGCATGTTGATGACAAATTATGGGAAACGGTAGAAACATGTCCGCATGCATGTAAAAACAAAAACCAAATGGAGATGCAGTTCCTGCATCAAGTATCATGTGTCCCTTTCCTGGGTAGTGAGCCCTGTCCGGTGAGACACCGGCACCTCATCAGCTTCAACAAAAACGTAGTACTGCCGAACTAGTTCTCTTCCAACATTCTTTTTCCATTTAAAAAATACAGACCCTAACATTGCTCTCTAACAGTAAATGCATATGGAAGCAAAAAATGTATAAAAAAAAATGAGAAGTATCATCAGCAGTAACTTACTCTGCTAGTTCTATCATTTTATGGATAATAACCTCGTACTAGTTAATAGACCTTCATGAGAGACATGTCATAGAAGGAAAGGCACAGGTGTATTTAATTATATTAATGAGGTCTCACTGGAGTAGCTCACTGGGACACTGAATGGAGCTGAGCCATCGTTAATGTTATTAATTAAACCTGTGCTGTTCCTGCTATGTCAAGTCAAAAATGTCAGTGAACAGAGCAAAATAGCACCACAAGCAGTTTTGTGATCATATAGGTTGTAGACAAACCCCCCAGGTTAGCTAAACCTATTTGGGGGAGTAAACAACAGCAAACAGTAAAAGTATTAATCACACAGACAGACTCTCTGGTCCTACTGTACTCGTTGGAATGGCTTTTATTTGGAAATGATTATTACCCTATTTGCAAAAGAACAGTGTGCCCTCACTTTAAGCTTTCAAATAAAATGTTTTTTATAATTCTGCTTATTCACAATTTTTCCGATCACCTGACTTTTAATGATTCTTGCCCACGGAAAAAACAACAACCTGCAAAACTAAGAAAATAATACACTTAAATTTGTTTGATATTGGATGTATTAACTAGGTGTGTAAACTTTGATAGCGGAATAGAAGCCAGGCTCATTGAGTGAAACTCTCGAGCACAGCGGCAGATAATATTTGCTGTAAATGTTGATTACCAACAGGACCTGGCTGCTCCACAAACACACGCCTTAAATACACACAGCTCGGCCTGTTGTAACGGAGAAGTTAGCACAGTAGTCTGCGTCAACCAGAAACACAGAGCACTACGAGTATTAGCAGTCACATTAGAGAGGGTGTTCCTGAGCTGCTTTCTTTATTTAGTATAAGGTACATTCAAATCACTCATTATGAAGTCAATCTCAGACTCACAGGGTCGTGATATGAAGAGCTTGAGCAGCAGAACACGTATACAAGCTATTTGATTCTCACAACAGCCACATATAGACCTGGTTCACAGGAGCTCCGATTCAGACCTCTACTTTCACTTTTGCCAAACTTACATATTTATGTTTTGTTGTGAATAGATTTTTCTGTAACAACACAGCATCAACAACACTTAAGTGTGATTTCATGCAAATGATGTAACAACTATTATCTTAGCTGGACTATTTCAATACAGACGTCACAATATCTGGATATTTCTTGGTAATTGTTTCAGCTTGTTCCAGTCCATTGCTATTCCTAATAAAGTGTACTGCGGAAAGAGTGCAAGGCTTTAACAGACCGTTGACATCCTCATTTGGGTAAACATTTGGAAATCAGGAGCTACATGCATTGTTAATCCACAAGCGGTGGCATCATTTGACTCTGTGAACCAGGTCAAAGTCCAAGACTCCAGTTACAAATGAACAAAGCAGAGAGAGAAACCTGGTGAAGTTAATGAACACGTTTCTCAGCCTTTTACACTTCAATCTCTGTACCAGAACATCTTGCAAGCAACACAGCAGACCCTTTAGGTCTGGTAACGCTCCATGGAATGAGTTGAATAGACTAACGTTACTAGGACAGATCAATATCACGAGGATCATATGAGAGGAATGCTGAGTAACGTTGGATATGTTGGCCCAACACCGTGTAACGTTAACGGGGTTTGGATACGTTTAAATACTTTGACTTTACTTTGCTTACCCATTCTAAGACACGAATAAATCCAAGAGGTTCTTTTAATGGTCCCAGGTCCAGAGAAAATCCAGCCTTCAACTTCTGAGGATGACAAACAAGGTGTGTAAAAAGACGTAAAATTACACATAAAGTGTTAAAATACAGTTAGCCACGTGTAAACTAATTAGCGTTCACATTAGGACCCAAAGAGCTAGCTATCGTTACCAGTTGTCACCTTGCGGCTAACTGGCCCTGCCCTTGTTAGCCAACCCCTGCTAGCGACATGCTAACGCTAACTCATGTCAACCTGGGTATTCAGCTAACTCACCTACCTGAACAGTGTCCATTGAGGCGTGCAACAACTAACGGTAGAAAGTAGTTTGTATTTCACTCCGAACGTTGTCAGTTTTGTTGTAAAGCTGATTTAAAGTTACTTCATTTGCATTCGAACGGTGGCAAGCGATAAAACGGCAACCGACTATCAACAGGCGGCAGAGTAACACGCAGCCAGGCAACTGATAAGACTGTGGTGTCAAACTCTGTACAACTGAACCGCTGTCAACCTAACCCACTTCCGGTTATTACTTTTCAAAATAATGTTATTCAAATATTTCAACTACAGACTATAAATAAATAAAACATTTATGTGACAGGTGTGTCGGAGTGAAGCACATCTCTAATGAAAGAAATGAAGAAAACTGTGTATAAAATGAATACCAGCAGTATGTAAGACGGTGTGTGGGAGTCTTTTCACTGTAACGAGTACGACTTTGATTGAAGATATTATAATTATAATTATTTCTATAACTATAGTTGCGAATGTAGCATCAAATGTCAGAAGAACTGTTTTGCCTTTGTATGTTCTGCCTGTAATACTAGCACTTAACAAGTGTTCTCTTAATTGGGAAAATATGGTGTTTTGACTTGATCACAATAGTAATGTAATTTACCTAGCAATTATCATTACTTACTAGGTCTGATTCATATTCATGGTTGAAACGTTAAATATTTATATCGCCTTCTTTTCGCAGTATAAAGGAGATTGGCCTAATGGTGCGTTCAGGGCTTAACATGAAGGCGGTATTCAAGCACATCAGCCACATGAAATAGGAATTCACACTGCACCCTTGTGGGAATATTATTTATTGAATCGTGAGTGGAATTAAGACGGTCTAGCTCTCGTAATAGTTCATATATTGTTAATTTAAGCGAACTATCACTCAACGCAGTCAGTGATGATAGCAGATGTATTCTTAAACTCTTGCATTCAAAATAGTGGTGCGGACGGATGCAGTTTTGTCAGCAAAATGTACCTATATTATCAAGGTAACGGTGATCGTGGTATATATTATACATTATATTGTTGCTGCAACAATTATTTTTGTATCATTTCGTAGATGGTCTACATAAACTAAAAAGCACAGTATTTCCCTCAGAATCGTGTGAAAAGTGCCACACAGCATGGGAGTACATGAAAGTGGTCGAATAAACTATATTTCCATTCGACCTGAATGCAGCATGGTGGGTGGCCCACCCAGAGCTGTCCTCCTCTGCTTTTTCATCGCTGCCGCCATTTTGCTGTGGTCTCGTCGTGCGTCTGCGGCAGTCAACGAACCGGGACGGGATCTTTCCTACATTATACAACTTTTACATATTTTTTTGAAACTGGTAATTAACACCGCATATTTTGTTTACACAATATCTCTAGTTGTTACATTGTAGTGTTAATACTCCGACTAAGGAGAAAATCAAAAGCCGTCGATTAGCTCGCGTTAGCTAAAGCTAACATTAAGGTTGCGAGAAATTGGTGGTTTAGGTAGGCCTCTGCTATGTAACGTTAGCATAAGCTAAAATAACCCTAAACTAAATGAGAACAATATATTAAGTATTAGTCAGGTTGGCAATCAAATCCAGAGTCACGCTATTGTTTGTGTAGCTAACATTATTTGGTCTATTTATCTGTCTAACGTTATCTAATATTCGCCGATCTCCATTCAGTAGCGGTAGTGTCTTTCCAACACTGCGGGGAATCGCTCGTGCTAACTTTGGGCTACTTGTTATTATTCAACAGTAAGTATCTGATCTTTTCTTGGCTGTCTTGGGTTTTAAGCTTTGACTACACATACCTTGAGCCAACACTGAAGGTGACCTGTCACGTATGTTTTTTGGTGGTTCTAGTTAACGATAACCTGTAATTTAGTGGTTGTGGCTCCAGGAGAAGTATTTGTTGTAACGTTACTTATTAAGCGAGTTAGTAACTTTAGTACCTTTGTGAATCTTTCTTTCTTTCAGGGGAAGTGCTATTTTGTGTCTGTAGAGTGCAGTTTTCCTGTTCCTTAAGATGGAAGCCAGAGTTGTACTGAAGGCTGATCATCAGTGTCGAACTAAGGCCTCCATGTTAAGGACAGATAAACAACCCAGGTCTAGACTCCCAAACGTTAGTTATGACTTATTCTGGATTAGATACTTAAAATATACAACCATGGGTAGATAGTGTAAAGTCAATGAGTCTGTCCAATGACCTGGACCCTTGTTAGCACTAAACTCTAGATCACTCAGAAGTCATGATTGAGAGCATATCTGTCTCACTATACTGTACCTCTGTGTGGAAATGTCCAACTGTCTCCTGTGTATTTGTGCACAACTGTCTGTCTCTCAATAACACCTTTTCAGTTCCCTGGGGAGTGTTTTTGATTGATTTGTAGGTTTAAAAGAATCCACTTTGTGGGGATCCCTGGATATGGATAGCTTGCCCCTCATGAGAATACAGTGGCAGAAGATTTTTTTCTCTTTTCAGCATAGGCTGAAAATCTCTAGAGGCTTGAGTATCCTGCCCACATTTTTTTTCTACTGCCTTCACCCAAATGTTACCAGGTGTGCAAAATTCACCACGCCCAAGAAGAAGCCGAAGATTGTTTTTCCACCTACCATCCATCCACTTTTTGCAACATCAATTTGAGCATTTTTGGATCCGTTTTTTGGGGGCTTTTCTGGCTGTTGATGCCCCCCC